AAATCTGAAATACAAAAACCGGCCATTTATTATGGGACACTCGTTTGAACGAGATTATGAAATTGATATTGATGCTACTGGAATTTTTTTGAAAATGAACAAAATAATTGTATATCATTCTCGAATAAGAATGTATTTTTTCCTATTAATAATAAACATTTGTGAACATCTAATAGTGATTGAAGACTAAAATTGAAGAAGTAAACGTACTCAATAAAAAGTTTATATACTAATTAAAGCGGGTTTAATGCACTACTAGAGGAGTTAATGCTCGAACTTTGCATGCAGTACATTCGAGAAGTTTAGTTCTCATAAAAAAAAAATTTTGCATCGGACTGAGCAAGGGGAAGAAAGTAGAGCTCATTTAACAGTTTATTGCTACCCCTACAAAACTGATCTTGCGCCGCCCATGATTGAATATATATGGATTATCAGTGGCAGGTAGTCCATTCTAGAAATAAATAATTTAAATAGAAAAACAAAAGAAAAAAAAAATAATATTTTCTTATTAAAATGTTAATCTACCACATTAAATATATGTAATAAATCAGGTAATTGTTCATGAAGATCACCAATAATAAATATATGATGTAAATTAGTTAAATTAATATGATTCACATTTGGTAATGTTTTAAGTATAACACGTGCTTGATGAACTATTACATAGACATATTTTTCATGTAAAATCTATTAATACATTATTGAGTAAACTAAAGATTATATGGTATGTGTTTGAATTTATTTATTTGATACTTTTATTTGCTATTCGAAATATCTTCTTATAATTATGAAATAGTATAGGCTTAATTGCAATCTACTGCGACAAAAATTGCTTTTTTTTTATAAATAATACATTGTCTGAACTCATCTTAGATTGTAGCTTATTCCCTGTCGAGATTTACATTCGCTGTGCTTTTCTTTTTGTATAGTAATGTTTTAAAAATAGACTATTCACTAAATTCTTTTTGTTGAAATTTTCAAATCATGAAATTATATATAAACAAACTCTCAATTCAACTGTTTTAGTTCGTTGACCAAATTCTCAATGAAATAATACTACTTCAAACGCATGGTTTAGAAGTAAATTAAAAGACGCTTATTTTTCATTCCATTAATCTTAGTATTATGAATGTACAGAGAAAGTTTTTCATACATAGGTATCTTTTCAGTGTATTATTTTAAAAATAATCCATGTAAAAATTTCAATGCACAAGTTGTAACATGGTTTTTGACGCTGAGGCTAATTTAGTTCAGGTGCTGAGTATGATCATATACTAGAACTCGAAACAACAATTAATTTGATCGGAACGATTGAAAATTTTAGAAGCAAAAAGAAACCGAGTTAGTCGTGAATGATTTACTTTTCTATGGAGTTTTATATGTTTTCTTTTATTTTTATAGATGTACTTTATGTATGAAACTAGAATTCGAAAATTATAATAGCATTATGAAAGTATTGGCTTTATGTCGATTAGCTTCGGATTGAAACGAATAAATCTTGATACAAGACCTGTTGCAAAAAAAATAGTACTTCTAAATGATATTATTTCATAAATAATAGTGTAGTGTTATATCTTGAAGAAAATCTATTAAACGATTTTTGAAGTTGGTCTCATGATTTAGGTACATAACGAAGAATGCAAGATTAGTTTAATAAAAAGAATTTTGGATCCATGGATAGGGACTTTAAAAAATGGACTCTGATACTGAAAGTTTGTGTATAAGTAGTTTACATGATATTAAAATACCTAAAAATTTTAAATACCAATGATTGACATCTGTTTCAAGTTCTCTTTATTTATCTAAAAGATCTTCTCACGTATAATGAATCATTTTATGCAATAATTAGTACTGTGATTTCTTATAAAACACTTCAAGAAAGTTTCTTTCTGTATAGTTTGATAGAAAGAAAGAGACAATGATATTTTTTCTATAGTATTTAATTATGCTTCAACTAATAACATAATAATCAATTTTTTAATAAGATTTGGTTTTCTATCATATGTGCTGATAATACTAATGCCTATATTAGTTGAAATTGTTTTCAATAAATTTTGATAGAACTAAGGTAGTTGCTAAGTGACGGAAAAAATCTTTCCTTGTAACAAAGGAGCAAAAAACAAAGGTTTTTTTACAGAAATAATCAGAAAATTTACTCAAAACTTCGACATCTATTTCCATAGACACTTGCCAAACACGAAAATCACTTGTAAGTGTGTCATGGGTCATTTTAGTTTTTAAAGATGTCGAATCAAACTTTCAAAATATGAACAAAGCAACTCTCTTTCTTCTTTCTATTAAAAGTTATTGAAAAAAAATTCAACTAAATATAGGCATTAGTATGATCAGCACATATATGATAGAATAACAAATCTTATAGGAAAATTTTTTATTATGATATTAGTTGAAGTATAGTCAAATTACCATAGAAAATAGACCATTGTTTTTTTTTCTCCAAATATGTTCTCTTATTTGAGGAAAAAATATTTTCCTATAGAATACTAATAGTAATATCATCAACTCAGAGAAACCAAAGCGCTTATTCAGAACGTATAATGTAACGCAAGATTTCCCATCTGGCATAATAATTAACATAAAAAGAACAACTGATGATGTTAGGTATATCTAGTATGTTATGTTGACATTAGTTCGCAAAGTAATTGTCTTTTCCTAGATTTAATACTATTAACTAATCATATTATTCAGTCTGGATATCTAAATCTGTCAATACACACAGTATTTTTTTTACCTATAGGCTTCAAATCTTATATAAATAACTTTAAAAGTATTTTATCGTGTTTTATACTCTATGCATTCGCCGTTTGTATTAAATACTTTTGTCTTGCTTACTTCTCCTTTTTGAAAAGCTTCAATTAAATCAACAAAAACACTTCTCTTAATTGGACTTTCGATACCTAGAAAAAATAAATGAAAATTATGATTCCATTAATTGTAAACAAAACATTCGTTTACGTGGTCCTCGATAATTAGCTTCAACTTAAATATCATCTGGATTTGTTAATCTTAGAAGTTCTTTTTCTTGTACATAAAAATAAATTGAATCTATTTATTGTATATTTTGTTTCAAATAATGTATTACCAAGAGGTAATCCAGGTTTTTGAAGTAATTTTGTAACAGATGGTGAAAGTATATCGGATGCTTTCATTAATTTTTTAAACATATCACTAAGCTATGAGATATAAAAAGGAATTCGTATAATAATGTAATTATTAAATATATATATATATCTTTTTTGTTACTTTTGCTTCAGTTTGTTCATTAGAATCGTCAAGTTTTTCATGTATTTTCCATGCTGCTTCATTTTTTAATCTCAATCGAGCTCGATGATTACGAAATACACCTTGAATTTTTGTTGCAGCATTACCAACTAAAATAAAATTATTTTTATTTGAATTTTTTTCTGCATTAAATATTTCTGATCTTTGTTTCTTATTTTAATAGAAAACTATACAAAATAAATATTCATACATGATGATGACGACGATGATGATTGCTGATACATTTTCAAATAAATCTAGTCAATCTTATAGGAATGCCATTCAAAGTAGAATCTGAAAAAAAAGAATTAAAAATTAATTCTGATAGTTTTATCTTTCCAAAAAGATCAATTGATTTCTAAAAGATGTAATATAGTTCTATTCTCTGAATTGTCAACCGATAGAATAATAAGAACAATCATCACTCCATAGTCAAATATCGATAGATTTTGGTACATTCCATAACGATAAACATATGTTGATGACATTTACACAGGGAGTCACAAGAGTTTTCTCCTATAACAATTTTTGGTTTTTTTTGTTACTGTGTATCGTATATTTATTACTCGACTACAAATAACAAGGAAGGCCGGAATGCACTGTGTATTTTGACGTATTTACTTTAAACATACAACTCTATTTCAACTATCAAAAATGTATTAGGAAAAAAACAGTGACCTTTTCTTTTACAATATCAGAATGTTGTAACATTTTTAACTTTGCATACATCTCGGTTCAAGTAAATGATAAAATCTTGAACTTTTTTTCTACAAGATGTGTGGGTGTTAACTTAGAGAAGATATACACCCGTCTACACCTACACCTTGAGATCTCTATTGAATCTAGAAAAAGAGATTTGCTTCACTTTTCAATGAGAGTCATTTCTAATGCTCAGTCAATATTAGGTGAAATTAAGTGCACAAGTAAAATTTTATTTGTTTTTTCGACTATTTTACCACGTATTCTAACTATTGTTCTAACTGATACTTTGAGAAAATGTTCATAAAAAAGATATATTACATAATGCATGTGGTTTCATCAATTTTTTGGCATACACTAAAGAAAACAAATTATTCTAATTCAAGGAGAAATATGTAGGTGTGTGTGTGTGGGGATGGGTATGGGTGTTGGTATGGGTTTGGGTGTAGATGGGTGTGGGTGTGGGTCAAGGTGTGGGATAGGGGTGGGGGTTGTGGGGGTGGGCGTGGGCGTGGATGTAGTTAAGGGGAAGAGCTACACTCATACCCACGTCCATACCCACACCCGCACTCACGCCTTATCCATACCCACACCCACATCCACACCCCTGTGCTGATGTCAACAGAACAACGGTCGCATCATAACTATTAATTAGAAAGTATATAATGTACAAAATTCTTTTGTAATGATCGTTTTGTGTAGCTTTTTCATAGGGAAAAAAGCAATGAGACATAATCAACGAACTGAACATTGCCAGCATTAACATAGGAATTCTCATTCAGAACATGACTGTGTTCAATAAAATAACGCCAGTTTTGAGAAGGAGACCACCAAAATGAATCGTTTTAAGTTAATTTTATAAATTAATTTTACTACTGAAATTTAACGATGTAATGTTTCTTTCTACTTGTTGATTTCTGATCGCCCTTGCATCATCAATCAAACTGCGCAAAAATGACGTCGAAAGCAATGTTAACATGTTTGACGAACGAAAAATATCGATGCGTAGAAACACAAAGGAAGGAGTGATTGATTGTGATCGTAACACGTGCTTTTTAAAGTTTTGATTTTCTGTAAGAAACACAAAAATGTAAGTTTGTTTTCAATGTAAATCTTATTCTTGTTTGGTTGACAAAATCATTTAAGACTTAATATGAATTTCTGAAACTGTTGCATACGTGTGACAGAGCTTCTTAATGATCCTGATAGCCATCTGATGACGAATCCTTCAAATCAATAAAGAGCTCGATATTATGTTGCAATATTTTACAGACTAACAGACCTGATAGTTATATAAGGAGACATGCAATACTCTCCACCAACTTTTATTTTTGACTTTTAATGAGCAAGAATTCAAGCTTAGTTAAACGAAGTTCCAGTGATTTCACTATTTCTCATGTAATGGCACTGGACCGAGATGGCAGAAGCTTTTAAAACAAAGTATATTCGTGAATTTTTCTGTTGATTCAGATTATGAAGCTATGGTGATTTGTTCTTTATTTTTAGGGCCATAATAGGCATCAAGAAAAGGCTTTTTCTTTTAAAGAGAAAATAAAAATTTAAAAATTCGCTGCTGAGCAAGTAGAGTATATCTCGTACATCTCTGATATGTAGAGTTCTTTCTATATTATCGCGGTGTAAGATGCAGTGCATGCGTATCTGTATTAGCAAGTGCATGTTCAAAATTGAGTTCCATTTTAGATCACTCGTCCGAGCAAATAACACAGTGAAAAAGAAGAATATGACCAACAATACCAATACATTGATAACGGAATGCATTGATTCATGGACGCTGAAACATCTAAAAGATGAAATGAAAGCCACAGATGAAGAGTTAGTATATTTTGTTAGATTACAGCAACTTCGAAATCAGAAACAGACATCAACATTAGACATCGATTGGGATAATCCATCAGTGGTGATTGACGGCTTTCTCTATCATGGCAATATAGGCCATGCAAGTGACATGAACTTGCTTATGAATCTCGGCATTCGACATATCGTTAACACCTGTGATTCACCGTTAGAAACAGAAATCACAAAGAATTTCAATGTGTTATGGATTAGTATAGACGATGATCTTCATATCAATATCAGTCAATATTTTCAACAAACGAATGACTTCTTACTTTTGTGTAAGAAGAAGCAGGAGAAAGTGTTGGTTCATTGTATGATGGGTATTTCTCGATCATCCTCCATTGTGCTCGCCTATCTAATGAAGTAATATCTATTTCTGTATTCAAAATCGACCAAATATTTCATTATAGATATCATCATGATACTTTGATGAAAGCCTACGATTATTTGCTGGATCGGCGTCCTGTATCTTCACCAAATTCTGCTTTTCTTTTACAATTGATTCGATACGAGAAGGTGTTGCGCAACAGTGGTGCAATTGATGAACAACGAAATGATGATGACAAACAGAACCCGATCGAAACAATGAATATACCGAGTAATCCTAGCATTGAAAAGCCGTTGGTCTAAAAAGCAAAAGGAAACTTTAGAAAGATTTCTATCGTCTTTGTGTGAATTTCATATACTCATAAAGCTCTTATCCTGTATCTCAAGCCTATTTTTCTGCCTTCTTTGATTTAGTCTATCTTATTCAATAAACTCGAGTCTACCATCATGATTTAAACTTTCAATTTCACCAGTAGCAAATGATGCACTTCAAACGATTTCTTCTTCAGTATCACAAAACTTGAGTACACTTACTTTACTCTATTATAGGAATTTACCAAACCTTGACGGTGTTTTACAGGTATTGCATATGGAACGTCTAAAAGTAACTCTAGAATCTATCCCAATATTATTAGAAGCATTCAAAATAATGCCAAACCTTGAAGAATTATATATATCAATGTCTTATTTCAATGATTTAAAAGGTTTAAAAATCTTAGAACCTCCAAACATTATACAGCAGCTAGACTTGGAGTTTGAAGGAGATAGTGATCTTCGATTCCTTCGGAAACGGTTTGAATTGGTAATAATGTTTTTATACATGCTCAAAACTAGTCAACTACAATCATTGATTTTAATTGACATCTATGCTTTAGAAGGGTATGGGTATGGGTGTGGGTGTAGGTGAACATGTCTTAATTCACACCCACACCCGCCCTCTTCGAAGTTATTGTTTTGCATTGCTGTGAGATCTTGAAGGTCGAGTGTCTTATCAAGCTTCATGCATGCCTAGAGTTACATCCACATCCACAGCTTTTAATACAAGTATGCTCGAATCAAACAATCAAACGTGAATAGAATTATAAGTCTTATAACATCGTCAAACTTTCATTTTAGATTAGCATTGGCAAGCAAATCAACTATGGTGATTATCACCGATGGAGCTGATACTGTGCTCCTAAGTTGAATCCAATGAGACTAGAAAGCGACGAAAATCGTACAATATCTTATAATGAAACTTCATCAACTGCTATTCTCTGGTTGATCTCATAGTTTGTTCATGGCTGCGATTCATAGAATAGAGGAAAACTCCTAAAGAATCAACCATACTGCTGCTTTATTTCAGAGAAATGGGCATAGAAATTTTCTCAAAAATGAAAATTATTGTTTTCTAAAAAAAAAAGTTGTTTTTCATATCATAATAAACGGTCATTTTCACGAGCTGATTTATTAGTCACTCATCTTATGTCTGGCTGCTTCCCATATTAAAAAAATAAGGGGAATAATCAGATTATAATCGATTATAATCAAAAATAATCAAAAAAACCAAATTTTCATAGATTATTTCTATTATTTTTGATTATAATAGATTAACAATTGTGAAAAATATCGATTTGAATCGATTTTGCGTCACAGTAAATCGCAAAATCTTTAACCGATTTCCTTCGATTTTCATCGATTATAATCAATTATTTTCTTGAACTTTTAATCGATTATAACCGAAAATAACAGGAACAATCGATGAGAAATTGTTTTTTTTTCGATTATTTTTGATTATAATCGATTTTAATCTGATTATTCCCCTTATTTTTTTTCACATGGGACTGAGGCACATCTTTTTGACATTTTCTTAATCAATGTTGTCTGAAGATTTGAGCGCAAGCGGATCATAATGGGTAGAAATTTATAATAAGGACACTGTTAGAAATGGTCATCATTTTTGCATCATCTACTTTTTTTCTATTATTATGACGACATCATTATATATCTATATTGTTATGTTTTCTTTCTTTTTATTTAAATAACACATTGTATAAAAGTAATGAAGTACTACTTATTTCTTACTATTAACTGTTTAGTGGATGCATGTATAGATGCCAACGTTTTTCTTCTATGCTCCAAGTATTCGCATCTACATCTCAGATGTTTAATCAATGACAAAATACGCCTAGCTCAGAAAAAGGTTTTTTGAAAAATCAGCCAGTTTCCTTTTAAAATATAATTTAGGCGTTCACTGATAAATGCCATAGAAAAGTGCCCTCTTGATTGACCAATGATACATTGTTTTGTGTTCAATAAATTTGCGCTTGACCTCTTTTTTTTTCAACTCTCATTATCATTAGACTAATTCATTATTTCCTTG